ACAGGCACCTTACTTCAATCTGCAGGAAAATTTAGAAGAGTCTTTTTTTGCCAAACTAAGAATGTGCTGTCACCAGCTGGATAGTTTCCCGTGCTCCTCAGTGCCCTACTGTGTATTTCTGCATTCTACCTTTTGTTAGTATTAGCAACTGTGTGGCCCTAAAGCAAAACAGAACAGCTTGCTTACATTCTGAAAAAGAAAAAAATTACTTTTTTTTTAGCTATACAGCAAGCTGATCCATTTTGTGGAGCTCCTCAATTACCAGAACCAACTGCATAACTGAAGAGAGAATACATACTTCAGGATGAGGGTAGTATCCTGCTCCTTTTGAGTAGCAAAATCTTTCTTCAGCTAAAACCATCCTTGAGAGATGGACAAATATAACCTTGTCTTCGCCCCTTCATTATTAATTGTTAATTGTTATTAACACTTCATTCTTCCTTGTCCAATACAGTTGCTTTTGGTGTATTGTATTAGCACTGCTGTAACTATGATTCCTGGAGCTCAAAACAGGAATGATGACGGTATGATATACATGCTTGATGCATGCTCCCCCAGCAAGCCCTGCAGCCTTTTCTTGCAGCTATTAGATGGGAATTTAGAGTCGATGGAATGGGGTGCAGGCAACTGCTATTCTCAGTGCAAAGTGCAGAGGGAGGTCAGAGAGGCTAAACTTCTGGATCTGGAATGAAGCATGCACCAGTCTGCCAGTCCTGGTATAGGAACAGTAACCTCCAGTGAAGAGACACAGCAGGCAGGGAGAAGTAGCACTGCAGAAATCAGTTAAAGGCTGGTAACACCCTCGGGCAGCAAAGTGATGTTATCCCTAAAGACCCATTTTTGGGGCTAGCACTTTCTCTAAGCACTGACAAGATCTGTCATAACTCTAGCTGGGAAGTGAGATCACAGGACTTTTCATGTTGGCAGATTTGTAAGAATGGGTACAAATGGAATGTCAAAAGTTACAGTTCATTAATACTGCAGCTACTCCAGTGTAATTTACTTTCTACCCTATACATACAAATTAGTCTTCAGTAACAACCAGATTAACAAAACACACTTGACTGCATATGATTTAAACTTGTTTATAATACCTTTTCACCCACCCTTTTAATTTAATATTTTGCTACGTGTATCACTGTAAATCCTCCAGAAAAAAAAACCACATATCTATAGAAATTATTACACAAGGAAAGTAGGAAATGATCAGTTCTACATTGCTACCCAATGCTCAGGAAAAATGCTGCAGATAAAAATATTAATTTATGGCAAGTTTTAGTTCCTTTGTACTTCTCTATGTATCAGCCTGCCAACCCAACCACAAATCTCACAGATGATCCATGATAATTTGTCTTGGAATTTTTCTTGTAACAATGCCTATCCAGGAGCAGCATTAAGCTAACAGCATAATTGTTTTTGTTTTCAAAAAGCCTGTCACACTGTATTTAATAAACCACGTATGCCATCAAGCATCTACTTAGGAACAATAAGCATTCACGATCTTGCTAAGTATAATTCTAAACCTGTACTGCTGCAATACTGTAATCTACTGCTTCAGTAATTATGCCATCTTTAAAAGATCATATCATATAGAACTGAATCCTCCCAGTCAAATACTGCATGACAAAATTATACTACAACACAGTCTACATCATGCATGAAGTACACTTCAGAAAGAAAATTGAGCAACAGTTGAACCTGGATGGGTCTAGCCAGAATGTGTCAAGAAATGAATGTGTTATGACAGGCCTGCTGGCAACAAAGAAAACAAAATTAATATAAAGAAAACATTTATAAACTGAAAAACTACAGAACTGAAGAAAATATAAAGTACCATTAATGGCAGAACAGGAAAAACACCACTGGGATTCTTCTGATTATAGGGGGAAAAGCCTTTCTCCTATTTGGGAGGGTTAGGTCTATAAGAATTTTTCTATACTTGTATTGAAAAAATAACAAATTTGGGTCTTCCCATCTGTGCATAAGAATATTTGAAAAAACAATGCCACAGCATTTATCATTTAACTGAATTTCTTATTTCTCCAGATCTTTAAATGATAAATGTTTAGAAATTGGAAATATAAAATGCAACACAACTTTCCAACTACATTCAATACATTCAATGGCAAAGCCCACTGCTTTCTATGTAATTACACAACACCAGCAATCAAAATTATAACATAGCAACAAACAGGGTCAAAATGTATTTCAGAGTCCAGCTGGCAAGTATGCAGAGGGTGAAAATAGGAAACTTCCTGTTCAACTAACACATGACAGGTTTTTTTCTGTGCAGAGAAACAAAATCACCATTTTTAACCAATAAAACCCTCTGACATTTACAATACTTAAGCTTTTGAGCCTTTGTAAGCTCTACCTGGAAAAAGTATAATCAAAACTTCTTGTAAAGCTTTTTCGCTATCTTATTAGGAAACAGAAAAAAAAAGTCACCAGTATCAGGGATTCCCTTAACTGGCACCCTTTGAAGTTGCTATTGCTTTTATTTCACAGCCCCCCACCTGTCACTGTAAAGGTATGAGCTAATCACACGAAGACAGCACTGCAGCAGCAGCTGTATTTACTTACCTTGATTCCAGCTGTCAGGGGAAAAAAAAGAAAATGAAAACACAGATAAGGTTGTTAAATGCACAAACATAAATGTTTGCTTCTGACTCAGTAGCTTAAACAGTAACAATATTAGTCACAAAATTCTTGAGATTCACTAATTTCTGCTCCATGAACATTTCAGTTTTTGCTGTAAATTTAATGGAATTTATGCAGAGGAATGAATAGACCCTCCAGTGAAAACATTTGTACTTCAGTGCTTAATATATAACATACCTGCTGTATATTAGAACTGGAGTAAATTTAACTGTATAACTGATGTTTCTTCATGCACACAGACTATAGGTAATAGCACAGAAACCCTGCACACAGTCTGTGTTTCAAAACAAGAATGAACAGCACTGTTATGAGTTACAACAGTCACATGATAAACTAAACTCAACAAAAGCTGATAGATTCACTTCAGTTTATACAGCACTGTAGATTCCATCAAAAAAATCAATCTTGAATTCTCTAAAACTCTGAATTATTCCTAACTGAGGGAGCTACAAATGAAAGAAAGTGTTTCAGTGGTAACCAACAAATGGTGAAATCACAGGGAAGCTTTCTTTAGTAAGTGCATATGAAACTTTGTCAGGGTACACACAGATTGCTTTATTAAGGAACAATCTGATGCCATGCAAAAACAGAGCATAGTTCACTTTTAGTCAGACTGTTGAGCAAAGATTCTTCTTCTGTCTTTAGAAACAGATAAAACATGGCTAAAAAGAAGCAAATGAACTTTAAAAAGCCCCACAGCTTTACAGACAGATGCATTCAATAGAACCACTAAATCCTCATATTCTGTGTGGTAAAAGTTGGATAGTAAAAACTGAAATCGAAAACAGTAAAATACTGTTTTGTAACCCCAATGGATTGTCACAGTTTTTGCTTACTTTTGACAGGAGTCTGTACTTGATATCTCTTCTAAAAGAATTTTTGTGTCTACTAAGCATAACAGAACATCATGAACAACCTTTAAAGGAATATTTTAAGACAAAATATCAAGCCCATTATTTTTCTAATTCTGTCCATAACATCAGAATGGTACATACTTAATATTATGATTTAATACATTGTCAAATTAATGATATATCAATGACATATCAAAATAATTTACGCAAACTAACCCTTTCATTTATAACTAATGCATCATCACAAAGCAACCCATATTATTAAACCCCATGTATTCGTGCCTATGTCTCATGGAGACAAGTAATTTTCATAGAACAATAGAATCAGTAAGGTTGGAAAAGATCTCCAGGATCACCAAGTCCAACCTTTCATCAAACATCACCATGCCAGCAAAACCATATTACAAAGTGCCATGTCCAGCCTTTTATGGAACACTTCCAGAGACAGTGACTCCACCATCTCCCTGGGCAGCCTATTCCTATGCTTGACTACCCTTCCAATGAAGAAAATCCTCCTGATATCCAGCCTGAACTTCCCTTGGCACAGCTTGAGGTCATTTCCCCTTGTCCTGTCACTGGCAGTCCGGATAAAAAGGCTGCCTCCACCTTGCTACACCCTCTTTTCAGGCAGTTGTAAAGAGCAATAATGTCCCACCTAAGCCTCCTTTTCTCCAGGCTAAACAACCCCCCTCCCTCAGCCATTCCTAGGATTTACTCTCTAGACCCTTCAAAAACTCCAGTGCCCTTCTCTGGGCTCACTCCAGCCCCTCAATGTCCCTTGTGTTATGAGGGGCCCAGAACTGGACACAGGACTCAATGTCTGGTTTCACCAGTGCTGAGCACAGAGGGACAATCCCTGCCCTGGTCCCACTGGCCACACCACTGCTGATCCAGGCCAGGACACCATTGCCTTCTTGGCCAGCTGGACACAGCTGGCTCACGTTCAGCTGCTGTCAGCCAGCACAGATAAGCTGACTATGTAGGAAGCTAGCACTGCAACAGTGACTTCAAGATGCACTGTTACAGGGTACTCATAACCTTTACTGGCATAGACTAGCTAGTACAAAATGACATAAGCACTCTAGAAAGCAATCTATGGATGTTCCCAAACCTCTTTAAGAAATGAATCCTGCAGGATTCAGCTGCAGCAATTTGAGACATTACTGCTCTGCTCCCAGTACTGAACCTTCTATGTTCATAACCCATGATGCAATCTTCAAAGTAGCAATCACTAGGATTTTATTAATCTATTTGCACTTGACTGCCTGAGTTATGTGAAGATGGAGTGGCCATGGAAGAAACATTGTAGGTAACACAGGTAGAAAACTTAATCCATTAAAGATGTACTCAGTAGGAACTTCTCTGACAAAAGCTTTCTGTGGCCTGCAGTGAATACTGCTACAACATGCTCTGAGGATCCAGTGACAGAAGTAAATCACTTTGTTGATGAAGTTCAATAACAAGCCATTAAACAGCCATTCTAGTTTGAATGGTTTATTTCCAGCTTTTAAAGATACCACCTTGAAACATAAAGCAACAATTAATTTAAGACACAGTACACAAGCATCTAAACGATTTTATTAATACATTAATGTGTGATTTTATTACCCAATGATTTTAAGTAGACAGAATAATTAAAGTGACAAGACACACTCTTCTTACTTGTCTCCTCTTTTGCCATTCTCTAGCTCAAGTTTAGTAGAGATTCAATCAGCAAGCCACCAATTTAATTGAAGACAATGATCAAAGAGATCTTCAAATACCTGTGGAATAATCCTCATGATGCTAAAGTCCTATTACAAATGAATCCTGGTGTATCTAGACACAGAAAGTGACAAAACCCAAAGCTACAGGTAACTGTCACACTCTAGGCATTCAACTGCTCCTTGGTAGAGGTTCATGTGCTGTAGGACAGGGTGAGTGCACAGCATATTACTGACAAAGAAATCACTGTCATTATGGTTCCTAACTTAACTTCCACTACAAAAAACAGGTAACAGGATGATTTCCAATTGTCTTCACATCCAGTCAGTCAACCAAAATTCCTTGAAGGTTTGTACTACCAGGGATGCTTTCTCAGCTGTTGTGGAACAACTTAGAATGGTCCATAAGGACTTCTTATCTCTTCATTAAAGCTTTGAAATAGTCTCCACTACTCCTCAAGCCTCTTTCCTTGCGTGTCAGCATTTTCATGCAATTTCCTTTTCAAGATAAAAGAAAACCTGGACTAAATCTTAGAAAGACAATTAAATATTCTCAATATAAGTTTTATGTGTAGAGTCATAGCTCCACTTCCAGCCTGTTATTCCAAATGTCTGACAAATATATATTTAAATGGCAAGACAAAGGGCCTGTTCAATGGTTAGTATTCATCACTTCTGGGTACTCACTTCTTAGGAAAACAAGCAGGCCACAATAGCCATTAAATGCTAGAAACAACCATTTCAAGAAGTAATAGCTGGTGGAACTTAGCACTGTCCTCTTTTAAGTTGAGATGCTAACAGGATAAAAGAAATTAAATGCAGTCTACTACTTGCTCAGTTGGTCGACTTAGCAAAGGGTTTGAAACCATGAAGTGAAACTGAGTGAATCCTGGAATTTTATTACATGCAGCACCTAGGAAAAAATAAAAAAAAATATTCTAATTTACTACATTTGGGATTAGTCTCTCTGTCATTGTATTTTATCATCCAAAGATCCAGTTACTAATTCTACTACAGTGGTATAATTATTCTTTTACAATCTGTTTAACCCAAGACATCTTGAAAGTATTTCATTTTTAAGTTAAAATACAGTACTACTGACTGTTGTAGAGCAATTAATGCTCTTATAGTACAATTCAAAACAGTAACACAAGTCAGGAAAATCTCTCTCTCTTTCAATCCTGATTAATTTAATGAGTTCCTTCAACACTAATCTCTTAAACACAGAACTACAGGAAGTAAGAGATCAAAAAATAAGCAAAGCAGTCTAACTATATAATCCACACTGATTAGCAAATTGTACTTCCTACTGATCTAAGAGTTCACTAATGAGATGCCTGGCACAATGACTACTCTTAGATCACTTTGAAGCTATGCTTAACATTCATACTCTCCTTCCTCTATGCCATATCTAGGGAAGGCAAAGCAGTCTTTTTTTAAAATCTTCAGATTAATCATATACAGTCCAGGAAAACAAATGAAGGTTAAATATTTCTGGGTTTTGCTAAGACTTTCACAAAATTTGTGAAAGTCTAAGACATCAAAACACAAAATTAAATTATCTCCAGTCTGCACTAGGACACAGCTGCCCTGCTAACCAGCATTCCATACTGTGAATGGCCAGTACTGCTGCAGTCTTTAAAGAATAATTAAAGAGTTCTTTAAAATCTATGTTCAGTTGTCTACATCTGTGACTTAGTTAGGGTCAAGCACCTTTGTCTGCAAAACAAAATACATACCATAACTTCCAGTTGTATTGGCACAAATGATAGCACCAAAGAACTTTGGAGCATACTTCCGGATTCTGGAAATAACTTTCTGACAGGCTACTGTTGGGTCTGTTCCCATCCTCATATATTCCACAGCTTGGTAACTAAAAAAAACCAACCCCATACTCAGAAAATTAGCCATATTTAGGTTATGTAATTTAAAATACCACAGAAAAGACCCTGGTTTCACTGAATAATGGAAACACATGATATTTTTTTAGGCCAACTTCATATTGGCAATTATTACTCAAATTATACACAAAAAGCAATTAAAAACAAGACTAAAAGAGACTATAAGATGACATCCGTAACATGTATCATTCTATGGCAGGCCAAACCAAGACAGAACTCTGATCATTTGCAGTAGAAGAGGCTAAGCAAAAGATCAGTTGAAGAACTGCAAGGAGCAGTGGCTTAGAAGACTTAGTCGCTTCTACTTTTCATCACATGATTGGGTTTAACATTAGAAGTAATTGCTAGTTTTCAGAAAGGCTAATGTCAAAATAATTTTTTGAGGAAAACTCAATATTACATTACTGATAAATTACTGAGTTCAGTAAGCACTAAAAAAAAATATTTCCGAAAAAAATTTAAGTTTCTGAAAACATAAAAATTGACAGATTTTCTTTATTTTATGAATATGAAGGCACCATGTTTTGATCAGGACATTGAGCCACTTTCAAACTTTTTGCAAAGTGATTTAAAAAAACCCCTTATTCTAAGAGTAATCAAAATTAATTTCCTTTATATTGAAAGAAATTGCTTGAGATGAACCAGTTGCATTTCCAAAATATCCTGAGGTAAAAAATTACCTATGCTGCCATTTTCTTTCAGAACCTGAAGATTAAATGATAACTCATGACATAACTTACAGGCAAACAACATTTTATCACTTTGATGAAAGATGCATAAACCAAGACAAACTCTTTACACTAAGACATCTACCAATTGCATTAATTACAGATGTTATCAAAGTACCACAGAAGAGAAAAACTCTTGCATTTTGAGACTCCCTATTATCTTTGATTTATTCTAGCAATCAAATAGGTTCAAGTTATCTAAAGATAACTACCTGAATATAAAGCTGTATTACACTCTTGATTAATCAAAAACTCAACAAGAAGTTACCACCTCAATGAAAGCATATGGAAAATATTAACAATTTTGCCCTTTATTTGACGCTTTCTACACTTTTAGAAGGTTAATTCTTGTCTTTGTTTTCATGTGGTAATATCTAAATATCATTGAATTAGTAAAAATCTTTATCTATAAGGAACCAGTAATTAACCACCTAGTCTGGTGATTAGCCCACTGCTGCCAACATTAAATGTTCTAAGCATTACAAACAAACACTTCAGGCTGCTTAAGTGCAATCTAAGCTTTTACTGACTAGCCTTATAGTGGAGATTAACTCACTACTCATCTTGGTATCTTGTATGACAAGACAGATAATTCATGAAGTTGTCAACTGCCTTGTATTTGAAAGACTGACTCAGAACAGCTTGAATTCATTGACAACATCTATAAATATGCAACAGCTAGCAGGCTTTCTTGGCTGCCAGAGTTTCAGATAAGTTGCCGGAGCAATATGAAGGCCACTTCTGTATTATCCTTCAAGCATCACTGCCCATTATGTTCAGCATGGACTTCAATAATTGATTCCTGCAGAGACCAACCCACGAGGATGCTCAAGAAGAGAGCCATTTCTTACACAGTTTATGCAACCACTGTGACAACACTAAAACACCTCTTTCAGTTTCAAATTAGATACAATTACAAAGGATTGCTGCAGTGATACCTCCTGAGTGAGCTGAGACCCACAGCTCATCCTTTCTACAATTTATGGTACTTTCCCACACAACAAAGTGCTTTGGAGAAGAAAGCTAATTGGTTCTGCTAAAAAGCATACAGGTTGGAAATTTACTCATTACCTGCTGCCTGTTTGCTCACAGCTTGGCAGTATTAAGGGATCTGTCATCAGGATATTTAAGTCTCTTCTTTTAAGACAGATCATAAGGGTAACTTGGTTCTGCTATTATTCTTTCCCCTTCCACTCCTTCCTTTACTCCCACTTCAGCAGCCACTAAGTCAGACCATATTTTTAATCTATTTCTTCATTTGCTGAGTCCACATTTTGCTGCAGAAATCTAGCGAAGTGTGCCCTAAGGACAAACCTGGGTAAGAAGCGCATCATGATGTCACCATCCCCAGTGGCTGCAGCTCCTCCGGCTGTACTATCCGCATAGGATCCCGCTCCAGCTATTGGAGAATCTCCCACACGGCTGTAGTGAACAATGGAAAATAAAAACCAAACTTTGTCAGTCTTACTGCCTCCAGCTGACTTAGCATTAAACCCACAGGAGAACAGAACAGGTAAAGAGGTCAATCCACTGCAGTCAAAAGTCTTGTCTTAAAACTACCTGTAAAAATGATCTGTGATAACCTGACTGACCTGAGGCTTAATCCACTGCCAATGCATAAGTTTCTGTTTTTATACTGACTATAGTTAAGTCAGTGAGCTTTAGCCTGTGGGCAACAGTAAGCAGCTGGGGACATTAATTTGTTCAATAACTTCTTGCTAAATCCAGAAATTGTCTGACTTGGTTGACAGACAATAATCCTAACTGTGTAGAAAAAGTATCTCAAAGACAAAACACAAGCCTGAGGCTCTGATTTTATGTACATTTCTTAGGAGACTGTGTGCCTCTCCAAAATGCTTATTTGTCCCTGGTGCCTTGCCTTACAAGTTGTCTCACAACTGTGCCAGTTGTTTGTGTCTCTATATGGTGAATTAAGCAAGCTGAAAAACAAACATTCCCTCAAATGCAACACATACTCTTGCGACTGCATCGGTTTCTCAACATTAGGATTTATGGCAAGTGCACAAAAAAAAAGCAAAGCCATTTTATGATCTACAGGTTAATGTTTTAAGCCTCAATGACAAGTTTAACATAGGAAACAAGGTGGGTAAAAAAGGTTTTTTGTAAAATCAGAGATACTAACCCTGGAAGTTTGTGGATTGCACCATTAGTAGATGTCCCAGAAGCAACGGCTCCACTCACACCAATTACAACCATACCTAAGATTTTCAACAGGGACAAAACATATTAAGGAATACTATTAGCATATTTATTTAGTTGGCAATACCCTTATCAAACAGAACCACAATGCCCAGACTATTCAAATGAGTGATATCCTGAAATACAAGAGTTGTAATCTTTCAGAAAACACGTTCTTTTTAAAAGATATTTGAAAATTTTTACAATCTAGTACAAGAGCTCAAAAAGGAATGTTAAACAGTGTGTGCACACTGTTCAGAGCTATATGTTATGCTGCCCAAGCAGCCACTGCCTCCTGATACACACCTCTGTTAACCAGTAGAGAACAAGTACCTGGTGTCACCACATCGAGCTCCAATACCATCAGAGCAACAAAGTTTAAAAATTATAAATGGTACTTGAAGGAAATTTAAAAAAAAAGTCAGATGCATGAGCTTAAATTTGGCAGAAGATGATACATTGCCTACCAAAGTAACTAGAATTACATGGTGGACAACCAAATGTATGGATGAGCCTACCCCTTGATAATTTTGTGCTGGTGAGAAAGCCACTGCCTAATACTAAAGAAGTTTAGACCGTCACTTGGAATCAGTTTTGGGAACAGTTGCTTCTCCACAGAGCAAAACTTTACCTCAAAAGAGCAGGAGAGGACATGAATTGCTGCTAGCATAAAACTCCAGTACAAACTGACAGCAAAGAAGCAGAATTTGATGAGATCAGTTCTGTTTCTCTGACCTCACTAAGCAGTATCTTCTTCTCACAGAAAAACTTCCTGACCAGAAGGAGCTAAAAACATAGAGGCACAGACCCAATGGCTTCTGCAATGAGACTGGAAAGGCATCAGCTCCTACCAATGTCCTAAATGCATGCTGAATGAAGACTTCTCAAAATGTGCTACTAAGAGAATTATTTCCTACGTAAAACAATGGGGTGGGAGAACTTGAAATACTAATACAAAATACCATCATTTACTACAAAACAGCTTAGGACTACTTAATGATAAATCATTTCATAAATTGTATTTAGCAAATTCCTCTCTCCTGACACTCCACAATTTCTAAGTTTTCCAGCACTTACTGAATTACCCCAGTAAGTAAGCTAGCTATCAACTTCAGAATTTGGTAGGTTGCTTGACTTCTGTAGACCATTAATTGATTATTAGTAGGATGAACTAGAAACAAAGAAGAAAGACTTAACACTTGAAACAACTTGTTAATTCTTGGTCTTATAAATACCATCAGATGAAAACTTATTGCTAAACTTAGAAAAATCCTAACTAAACCAAAAAGTGCAAGTTTCAAGACTACAAAGTATAAAGATATGAAAGATGTGAATCTGTAACTGCTCTAGTCCTTTGTCTGATCTGTTCATTAATCAACTTATAGTCTTAGCAATTAATGATCCTCAATCAGTAAACTCTCAGAAGTTTTTGGGACTACTACTGCTACTGTCAATGTTTTAATGTTAGTTTCTGTAGAAATTTACTGATTCAAAAAAAAGCCAGGATAGAAGAAAAATGAAAGCAAACTTTATTTTATAAGCCTAAGGAGTGTGAAAAACGCTGCTTTTAGATGGCAACAGGACTAATGGTATACTCATTTCTTCTACCACTGCAAGGCCTTTTAAGTTGGTCTGACAGCGCACCATAATCAAGACAAACATAATTATTTCAAACTTAGTCAGTTTCCTAAGCATCCACGGCTGCCCAAGCAATTATGCCAAGCTATCTATGGGAAAAGCAGCAAGGCAATGAACAAGAGTTAATGGCAAAAATGAAGCCAAGTGTCTGTGCAGCCAGTGAACTTGAAAAAAACAAATCCTACTTTTAGGCACTCCATCCTAACACATAAGTAACAGAATCTTGAAACCACTACAAACAGGAAATAATTCCTATATTAAATACTCTTCTTTAAATAAGTATGATTTAATCATTAGAGGAATGAGAAAAAAAAAGATCAGCATCAGAGTTACCAAAAGTTTTTACCAATAGTATCATGGTTATGAACACTTCTTTGTGAGCTGGTCTGTTCTTCTTTATGAGTTACTTCTTCACGCCGTTTATACGGTCCACAGGATTTTGAAGAGTCTGGCACCACATTCTGTAATTAGTTTGTGATTTGCATGAATAATATAACATATTCAATACAGATAAATTAAAAAATACTCCAATCAATACCTATAATCTACCATAAAGGCATTAGATGCCCAGTACTTAGACCACAGAGGTGTACTGAGATCCCAAAATTGTTTTGCTTAATTAATAAAGACTAATTTCTTATTACATGGTAAAATTATTTTCCTGGAAAAGTTACGTTCTTCAAATTAAGGACTCTTTTGCTCAACCGACTGGTCAAAAAAGACCCCAAACCAGTATACAAACATATAGAATTCTGTAACACCCAAAGCAAAAAACAGCCCCATTCAAACAACAAGCCAAGCTCACCACAACAGGCAAGTTTAATGGACATCTGCACTAACCTGATGTACTCATAGGTCTGCATAAAGCCTCTCAACTAACTATTTAAATATCTTAATTACTACTGTAAGATTTTCTTTCAGAAATTTATACATGCATCAAAAAATACATGCACTGCTTTGTTTATCTTGGTAAGTCCTGTCCCAGTTAAGAACTAAAGAATAACTCCCACACCAAAACACTACTGCAGCAAGGTCAAAAGCAGCAGGATCTAAGAAATAATAACTAGACACATACACTCCCAAGTCTAGCAATTGCTTAGTAATACCAAGTTTTTTCTGTCTAATAAGCAAAACTTATTTTGTTCACATTTAACGCATAACTTCAATATAAGCTGAAAGAAAGAGACACTACTGACTTTCTAAATCCCCCCTTCACTGCCATCACTGCACTGTACCTTCCAGTAGTTTGGCTGACAGCTTTGATTAAGCCACTCTGAATACAGTGAAAGGGATTTCTGGGTAGTTAAATCTTCATATGGAAACCCCATTCTGACAGCAAACAGGGAGGCTTGAAAAGCAAGAACAAAATAAAAAAGAAACATTAATTTATTCACAGTTTTATGTGTTTTATGATAATGTATTCATGTTTTGGTTTTTTTAGAAATCAAGAAATTTGACATCCTTTTTGGAGACGAGCAATACATCTTCAGGGACCAGTATCAGCCATTAGAGTGATGTACAACTGCAGTAGCCAACTCTGACTTCACAGGCAGTGACATAAAAGTTTTCCCAATGAAAGAGAAACAAATTCAACTCTGTTAATCAACTGGACACAATTAAGAGGGTGAAGCAAGAACGGCCTAGGCTGTGTGCATCACAGAAATAAATAAGTCCTACAAATATAACTGTATTTTCCATAAAAAGCAAACTTTTATCAAATATAAAGAACATAACACTACATTTGCCATTAAAACTGATACCTGAAGAAAGCAATCCACCAGTTTAAATCACATTACACTTTGTCCTTGCAGCTTTAGAAATGACTGCTTCCTTGTTTTGAAAATTAATATAGTATGTGGCAAGAGAGCAAAAGAAATACCAAAACTATCAATGAAAGAATGCTACACTTCTAAGAATGACTTATCATTAGGCAAAGGGAAAAGAAAAAAGATCAACTCTTCTGTCATCTTTTAGGTGTAGATATCTTTGATATTACCCAGTAACAGATACTGTTGCTAGGTTCAGATGCTTGAATTTATATTATCAATCCTTGATAATAATATCACTATAATGCACAACTGAACAAACTTATCCAGTCCAAGAATTAAGAGAAGCCTTCAATTATTTCTGGACTGCTTTTCTATATTTTTCTTAAAAACTGACACAAGTATCAGCACTCAGTGGAAAAGAAAACTGACAGATTCAATTAGATAAATATTTTCCCACTTATGGAACAGGCAGGCAGAATTTTTTTGGGGGGGGGGGGTTTGGTTTGTTTGTTTTTTTTTTTTTTTTATTTTTTTAAGATAAAATTGTGCTTGTGCATGTTTGTCAAGAATTCTTTCATAGTTTTTGAAACATTGTTTCTATTCCAGGAAGCAGAGTTCCTAATTTTGCATCTTGAATAAAAATGGAAAAAAGATCAACTCTTCTGTCATCTTTTAGGTGTAGATATCTTTGATATTACCCAGTAACAGATACTGTTGCTAGGTTCAGATGCTTGAATTTATATTATCAATCCTTGATAATAATATCACTATAATGCACAACTGAACAAACTTATCCAGTCCAAGAATTAAGAGAAGCCTTCAATTATTTCTGGACTGCTTTTCTATATTTTTCTTAAAAACTGACACAAGTATCAGCACTCAGTGGAAAAGAAAACTGACAGATTCAATTAGATAAATATTTTCCCACTTATGGAACAGGCAGGCAGAATTTTTTAAAAATGCCTGCAGAGATTACATGAATTTATATGAAAAGATTTTACTATTCTAGCTTTTTTTCTGTAATACAAGTATTTCTATTTAGAAATACAAGTATTTCTATTTTGTTCTCCCATATGCCAGTTTAAAGGTTCATATGGATTTTCTTTTTTTTCATCTCGTGAAGACAACCAGAGATTCTCTTATCCAAGTTCTGATTTCCACAAAAAATACATTTCTTCAAAAGAAATAGTCTTTCTCAATTTCTCCACTGCTTTCATTAATTCATTACCATTAAACACCATCTACAATTTTTACTCAGATGAATCTTTAGCTTTCACATCTTTCTTTTGCCACTACTGCTGGATGTTTTCTTCTGAGCAAGCTATCACTGACAGTAAGTATTCAGCATAATAAACTTGTCCACATGCCTCCATCAGGCAAAGAGCTATCTTCTTAGGTTGGAAGATGTATCTAAAATCAGCATTTTTATCCTTCTGTTTCTTCATTTTCCTTATCCTTTCTGTTCATTCTCCTGATTAAAAGTTAAAAACACTACAGTAACTAGCAATGAGGGGAAAATGAGTACTAGGAGTATTGCTCCCTCCACTATTTAACACCTGACCAGTTTCTTTTTCTGCACTACATGTGAAATTTCTCTTAGGAAAGCCACTCATCATCATGGTCAATTGCCTTAAATTAAATAGAATTTACAGGTTACTCTGTTCAGACCTTCAGTTAAACTGTATCCTCACTTCCCAAAATTGTTTCATTTTACTCCATCAAAAGTTGCTCGTGCACTTACCCTGCACAAGCTAATTATTTCAAGAATATTTAATCTTTTCTTATCAATTTCAAAGCACTTGAATCACCATTAATGCTCAGATGTCATTTTTCACACTTGTTTGCATATTTCTTTCTGAGCAGGTAGAGGTTCAGAGCAGGCTTCTTAAAAGCCAAGAAACTATTCACCACTCACTCCTCTGGGGAATGAACAGCTGTTTTTGAAACTGGTACTACTCTGCCAACAGCAGCCTGTATTTAAAAAGCTCAGCTAACCCTCCAATTTGCTATTGCTCTTTTTGTTGTGCCTGGGAGTACAGCCTCTAATGAGTTCTCACTAATACTTTTAAACTATGAAATACACTCATCACAATCAATATACCCCAAAATATTAGAATTTAACTCCAGTGCCTATTAATTCTGCCATTCCTCAGAAAAAGTTACTTAATGGTTTTAAATGCAACATTTACATCTAACTGTTTCTATAGTGTCTTTTAATAAATCATCTTTGGTAACTTGGTTATCAGTGATATTAGCCTTGGGATTACAAGTCAATATTTGCAGTTAAACTGATGGAAAAAAACCACACAACTATTTTTTCTGTCTAAAAATAAACCTATTTCATGGACACAGAATGAAAGAATAAACACTTTTGAACTATTTGAGTAGAATGATTTGATTGCCAAGGAATTATTCCACCTATATTACCACGATGAAAACATGGCAATTTTATTATGAAGTGTTTTAAAATGAGGGCTTGACTTGGAAACAGTTAAAGGAATAATTACCTGTTGGAAACAGTTAAAGGAATAATTACCTGACTCTCCCACTAGTAATGTATGCTTAGTGTATTCAATGACCTTTCGTGCTACACCAATCGCATTTTTCACACGCCTGAGATCCGCAACAGCCCCAACTTCCATAGTGTTGCTGGAAACAAGGAATATTTAAAACTTAAAACTCCAAGAATAATTGCACATTTTTTACTAGCCAAAATCTGTTCTCATCTAAATCAAAAAGCTTGCTCCTTTACCATAAAGCTTTAATTGATCTATGCCACAGACAGATGTCATTAAATTAGTAGGGAAACACTTCCTACATATAGTTTCCTTTCACAGGCATGGAGATGGTGCTCAAGAAACAGCACTTCCATTCACAGCAATATTTTCAATAGAGTAACTACTTTGTTACATCAACTCATAACATGAACCACACATTTGCAATTACTTTTTAATCAAGACAGCTTTAAACAGCAAATAAATGATTGAAGAAAATTACTCCAAAAAGTGAAATATTTATGGACTGAATGTAAAGGGAAAGCTAACAATGCTACAAGCCATCTGTTTCAACTGCTATACCTAGAACTGGATTAATGCACTACAAGTGAAGAGTCATTTCCTACTCTTCCAACGATCAGGTATGTTATTTTTCTTTGTTTCACAAGTTAGCTTGTCCCATAGTCAGCCTCAAACCACCAAGATGCTGTAACAATCCTTAAGTGTGCTAAAAATGGCAGGTGTGAGAAACAAGTTAATGGAAGTTGACTTTCAGTGGGTGTTGTATGAATTGATATTATTAATTATACTGTTGATTAAATATTATGATGTTGTCAATATTAATATAGCGATACGTGCTGTGGAGTGGCTGATGTTGTTGCAGTGGCCTAGCTGTAAGGCTGATTTTGTGAGGATGGTTTTGTGTCTTGTGTTTGTGAGTTTACATTGGATGGACTGTTGCTGGCCAAACCTGAGACATGACTTTAAAATGAGCAGAACTCACCCAGTGATAGCCCTGAGGACCACAGTGATGAAACTGCCTGGATGCTCAGGAGAGTGACATGGGGCGAGACTATGTAAAATCAAAATAAATATGCAGCAAGCTGATGGAACACCTGGGGTATAAAAGGCAGAGCTGCCATTTTGTGGATGACCCTCTGGTGTTCGGCCATGCTCCCAGTGCTGTACCTTTTGCCTTGTGAACTTTTTTATTCTTCTCAATAAAACTCTTATAATGCATTCCCACTTGGGGTCTGAGCCATTTATAACAGCAGGGATCATTCTCTTCTCTGTACAGTTTCCTTACCCATCCATAATCATTGCATCCAGAGTTGTTTCTCCACTTTCATCTGGGCTTCCACCGTATCCCACGCTCCCATCGCACTGATCGATCTCACATTGACCACAGCCTCTCTCGACTGCATCCAGCTCTGAACCTCCCGACTCCAATACTCTCCAAGCTGCAATCAACACAAATTATTAAATGTCACTAGGGAAAAGTTTCCACTGCTGCTTGAAGACAGACATGATGCAGGTGCACTACATAAGTGGATAAAAACCAGGAAACTATAAATCACAGACTGTGAAGTCAAAATATAAAGATAACCAAAAGAACTGGTTATATTTTCTAAATTCACTATTCACTTTTCTAAATATTCTTTTCCCTGTGTATCTGATTAGTACTTCTGACTAAGAAACAGAGCTTTTCTTTTGCCTGAGATATTATTTATTAATAATTACCACAAGTTCTCTATATCAAATGCCCTTCTCTGTCCAGAACCAATCATTACTTTATCACCACTTCTTTAAAGCCTTCTGGGAGAAGAAAGAGGGAAAAAAAAAAATCTTTCACCTCAAGAAAATAAAAAGGCCAAAATAAAAAGCTGCCCTCAAAAATTTCGTATGAGAATATCAAGTGTCCAATTGCAGAATAAAAAGGTATAAACCTACACCAGCAACTACATAAGCACAAAAGCAAAGTGAAAATTATACTTAAGAAATTAAGTCTCCACATTCTCCTGTTCAATCCCTGGTCTTCTATTCTTCAGGATCTAGATCATGGTGCAGCTTTGTAAGGCATTGCAGATGTGTCAAACAACATGACTTGAATACACTGAGCCTGAAGGTATTGCACATACAAGATTTCACAAGGATGGACCTCAGGCAAGATCTTCTAAGGTGCCTGAGCTTGCTGCCACTGACAATCACAGTCCTGCTTACCCCAATTTGTGCTGCCTCTGGCGCTCCATCACCTGACAGACCCAGCACAGGGGAGGCAGCAAATGCCAAGAAGCCTAACCATCACAGATGCTTCACAACTAATACATGAAGTTGCCTGCACCAGGGAAGCAGTAAGACTTAATACCATGCATCCAACTGCACACATGCTTGCCTCTATTACAAACTTCAGTGTGAGGGTTGTCTGATTCCTATTACCTTTACTGCCGTGACTAGCCTTAGCACAGGCTTTCAGAAGCTACAAAGCCAAGGGCCTTGCAATTTTCATGAGTGCACTTCTGGCCATTGCAAGGCTTTATTGGTAACTCATTTCACGAGTAAGCATTTTGTTGTTTATTTAGGGCTTATTTACAACTCGGCTGTAATAAAATAATCTGCAAGTCTTTTAAAATTGCTATTCACAGCTAATGTATGTTGCCATAGGGAAAGCCTGCTTTGACTGCCAACAACACATCACAAAACAACAGTTTCAAAGAAATAATGTAACTACCTAATTCTTTAGAGGAATAGAAAAAAAAAACCCCAACAACAAAACCTTTAAATACTGCACAAGAGTGCGAACTACATTAACAAAAGCATGTCTTTGATCTAGCTTTTCCGCAGTTCATAACTCCCCTGGTTAATTTTTGTGGGTTTTGGTCGGGTTTTTTAGCGTGATTTCCCATCGTGGAAAGTGAAACCATTTGCTTGCAGGCTCCCAGCGGCAGAGACGGACGGGCAAGCTCCGGCGCTGGGCCCTTCCATAGGAAGGGAAACCCTTTCCAAGCCGGCCGAGGCACGTCCCGCCGGCAGCGGGGCTGCTCCGAGCCGCGACGGGGCAGCGCGGAGAGCAGAGCCCGGCCTCCGCTGGGCAGCCGGGTCACAGCCGGCTCCTTCTGGCCACGCTTCAGCCCAGCCACGCCTCAGAGGCTCGCTGTTCCTTAAGCAGCACCACCACCCAGGTCCGCCCGGCAGCCCCTCAGCAGGAGGCGCTCCCGAAAGGCACCGAGCGGCGCGGCGCGGCACAGCACCGCCCCATCCGCCCCGCTGCAGCCCGGGACCCCGCCGGGACACCTGTCTCTGCGGCCGTCCTAAACGCCCAGGTGTTGATGACTACAGGCAGAGCGGCAGCTGAGGCGGCGCCCGCCGGCGTCAGCACACCGAGGAAGAGGAGCGCGACCGTCACTCCCTGCCAGTGCCCGCCGCGTCCCGCCGCCATCACGCCCGGCCCGGCCCCGCTGTGCTCCGCCGCCTCCAAGCAGGCGGCGCAGGCGCGCACGGGCCGGCAATGACCGCGCTGCGAGCGCGGCCGGGCCCGGGCCCGGCGTTGGCCGTGGCCCGGCGTCGCGTTCTGCAGTCATGGAAACCGTGTCATGGCAAAGAAGAGCTAAACCCTCAGCAAAGGCCGAGGCCCACGCCCACAAATACAGTTTGTATTTCGCAGAATCATAGAATGGTTTCGGTGGGAAGGGACCTTAAAGATCACATAGTTCCAACCCCCCTTTCATAGGCGAGGACACCATCCAGTACACCAAACTGCTCAGACACCTATCCAACCTGGTCTTGAACTTCCAGGAATGAGGCATGCACAGCTTCCCGGAGTAGCCTGTTCCAGTCCCTCACCACCCTCACAGTAATGAATTCTGTCCTAATATGAAATCTAAGCCTACTCTTTCAATTTGAACCCATTCCCCTAGTCTGTACATCTATTTAGACATGTACGTCTAAATAGTCTTGCCTCATCTTTCCAGTAAGTTCCCTTCAGGTACTGGAAAGTTGAAATTAGGTCACCTCGAAGCCTTTCCAGGCAGAACAACTCCAGTTATATCAGCTTTTTCTCTTGTGAGGTGCTTCGTCCTTCTGATCAGCCTGCTGTGGCCTCGCTCCAGCAGGTCACCTCCTTTCTGTGTTGGGGTCCCAAAGAGCTGGATGCAGTACCTGAGGTGGGGTCTCACCAGAGCAGACTAGAGGGGCAGAATCTCCTCCCTCAACCTGCTGGCCATGCTGCTTTCCATGCAGCTTTTTTATTGAGTCTGGATGTGTGTTACAGCCAGCGTGCTTGTGCAGGGCCGCCACCTGCCCATGAGATTGCCAGTGGTGCTGGAGTGCAGGAGCTGAGCTGCGGTGGTGTGGGAAGGCTGTGCAACAGCAGGGCTGCAGGGTGGGAGCAATCTCCCCCTAAGCACATGAGATCCACTTGCAGCATCTTCATGTGCTACCTTGCTAGCATGGATGTCTTGTCAAAAGTGCCTTATGCCACAGAGGCATTTCTGCGAAGGGTGTCTTTTGGGACCTACTACAGCCAAACAGTTTATTTAAAAAATGGTGAAAAGCCTTGTTTTACAGAAATCATAAAACTTATAACAAGTAATTTCTTAATTCTGCCCCTGCCATTCAAGCTTTTAATGATAAACAATTAGCTGTAGTTTAAAGCCATTTGACCCATTGCCATAGCACTCTGACAGTTTCCAGGTCTGAAGGCTTACCTGCTGTAAGCAGAATTCACTGGCTTGTGTTCAGGGCTGATTAGGTTCAAGGAGCTGCTGATCATCAACCAGCTATTATATCTGAACAAAATTAAAAAAGGTGACTTTTGCTTCTATGTGGATATAAAATCAACTAATTTTTTTTTAAATAATCTTTTGGCTTGTCCTCATTACTCCTTTTCAATATATAATGTGCCAAACTCAATTACACTTTAGCAGCTGTCACCATGATATTTTATGAAAAATCCTTTGCTAGGATTTTTCCCTCCTGGGAAGCTGAGGAGCCTTAGGAGAGAAATGTAAACAATAACTATCTGCTGCTGTGGAATGCAACAAGTGCATCTGTGATTGGTCCATGTGGATTGCTTTTGATTAATGACCAATCACAGCTACCTGTTCTAGCCTTCTGATGAATCTTTTCTCTCTATTCTTTTAGTATAGTTTTTAGTATAGTATTTTAATATGTCATAATATAATAAACCAGCCTTCTGAAACATGGAGTCGGGATTCTCGTCTCCACACATGGGGCACCAGACACAAAAAGCAGCGATGTTTTTGGTCTTGTGTTTGTGCTAAGAGGGGATACTTGGACCTCATGTGTGGCATGAGGTTTGTAGGCGTATATAAATTGCGAGTGCACCCAAGGTGGTTTAAGAAGCAATGTTATTTTTATTGTAACAAAACGTAACACAGCCTTTGGAATTAAATGATTACCACGAAGGAACGTGTTCTCCTTTATAACAGAAGTTACAAAATAATGAGATACAGTATTGAGTTTGACTTCAGTGATAGCATGGCCTTGGTTTCAGCCATTTCCCAAAAGCAAAACTACAATTAATCTAGAGAAACCTTTACTCAGGTAAGTACTGTTAGCTGATTTATTTCTGCTATTACTATTCTTATTTAATACTATCTGCATTTCTGTGTAAAGCAGTTAGGTAAGGGAGATGGGCCAAAACACAGATCCAAATTAATGTTAGCTGAAGGGAAATAGAACAAAATATTTTCAGGAAATAAATTTAATAATAAGTAAAATATATATATATATATATATATGATCCAACACATTCATAAAGAGGATATATTAATGATATTTTTCAAATACAGTTTTCTTTTTGTGAGATAAAATAGACTGTTATGAAAGAAAACCACTTTAATATGGATGTCATTCAAGTAAATATTGACTGTGATGGTTTCATCTGCAGGCTGAGCCTGCACAGCTGTGGAGAGAATGTTTTGTATGACTTGAAACAGCAGAACATTGTGCTTTGAGGCTCATACAGAAATTCGGTTGGTTTGATTTCTGTGGCATGCTTTCTAACTGGCACTCAAATGTGAATGACTTCCTGCTAGAAATAAATGCAATCTTGAATCCTTGCTTTACTGTATACAGTGCTATTTAATATATTTTTATACTGTGTGTGAACAAACAAAGCAAACACTGCTTTCAGATACAGTGTATAAAACCAACAGCAAGGTCAATAAAACTCTCTTTCTACATGCTGAAAGCACAGGAGAATTTGAGCAGTGTCTGTCCAAAACAACTCTGCAAGTCTGTTGTGCTACATCCACAGGCTCTTGATTTATGTTCAGTCTCTCACATAAAGTATTTTAAAATTGGTCTTGGGATTTAAAAATTCTTTGTATTTTCTTTAAAATTACCTTTTGTTTTGAATCATCCTTGCTACATCAGCAGTGGAAGTGCCCCTTTATCTGTTTGCCCCCAATAGTTACTGTTATCTTAGAGACTGTAGGTGAGATAAATGGTGATGCTAACAAGCTTTTGTCTCTTCTGCTGAAAAGTAAATCAATGTTTCTACAAGGAGAATTTTTGTTCATATGTATAATATTGAAAGAATATTCTAGAGAAAGGCTTGTATGGACAAGGGATTACTGAGAGGATCTACAGCAGACAACACTGTGACTGAATGGCACTGAGTAATTAATGAAAAACACAGGAAGAAATTCACCTCTTTCACTGAGAGGGTCTGTTCCTGCAGTGGCCACATTCTGACCTCAATTGTATCTGTGTGACCTAATCTAGCAGCATCTGTTTAAAAATGCATGCCTACCTCCTTTTTGCTGTCTCAAATTTTCTGTAAGTGTGATTTGAAATCTAATTAAGTTTTGTAGTTATATAGTTATATAATTTGTTTACATTTTAAACTTCATTTTAGTTAAATTTTCTAACACTAACATAAACACATGAACAGAAAATATGAGAATAATTTCCTTAATAAAAGTAATCAAGTTTGCTTAGCACTTGCTAATTAAAATATATTTTTAAATAACTGTGTGCTGTGGTTTTCTCTTTTGAGTAGATTTGTAGAAGCCCTGTACTCCTGGGTTTTAAAATTCTTTTTTTTTTCTCTCTCTTTCAATGCTTTTTTTGGCTTCTTATAATACACATGTTCACTCATTCACTGAACAACACTGTAAAGAATGAACAGATTTATTCGTAGTGTATGTATCCGTCAACTACCTCTCAAATCTGCTAGGAAAGAGCCTTATGCCTCTTCTCATACTTGAGAAGAGCTGTGTGTAAACATTTTCAAAGCTACTTAGTTATCTTCACCTGAATCCCTTGTAAAACTCTTTATCAGTGTGTCATCTGTCAAAGTGTATAAAATTTGAATCACACAATTATCCAGACCTCTGCTTTCCCTACTGTTTTCATGTCTTTCCCAACCATCTTTTTCCATATGTTATATGTTCTCTTTTACTTCTGCATCAGGTCTTTTGGGTCTGAATTGTTATTCCATTAAAAGTTTGTACAGTGTGTAGCACCAGTGCTTGCTACCTTAGCATTCTCTGGTCCTTGGCAATATGTTAATTAATATTGATAATGAGAAAAAAATACAGCTGCTAATTATAAAAACCAAGCAGCCATCAATAATAACTAAAAAAATAATAGCAATGCTTCCATTTGCTAATTTCCAATGCTAAATTTCTTTTTGTTACCACTTCTTTTTTTTTTTTTTAAATCAAATTCTAAGTTATAGTAGTTTCTTTTCTTCCTTTGTAACCTCAAGATAATTATTATCACATCATGTCACAGAATAATATGTTCCTGTACTATCATTTTGGTCTGTTGTTGAATTCTGTCTCAAAGCAAGTTATGGGTAATATATTTCCTTTCTGTAATTGCTATACTGGTCCACTGCTGTAATAAAGTTGTCATATGGAACACGTAATGGACTACAGTACATCTTTGGTTTTTTTTGGTTTTTTTTGGTTTTTTTTTTAAATTACAATTCTTTCTAATTTTCTGATATCCTTATAAATGTGATCCATGGCAATAATAAACTTCTTGGACAAATACAACAACTTACTGTTTACTTCATCCAAGTCTGAAAGTTGTCTTGACATTGTTAAATGAGCATATTTAAAGTTCTCAATGTTGGAAGGAAGCTAACCACAAACCTTTATTATACAAATATTAATATAGAAATATGGCAATTTATGATGTCTATGTCTGTTTCAAATGGTTTGAATATGCCCCCTAAGATTTTAACCTGGATTCTCACCCGGTTAGGGTTATCTAATGCCAGAGTGTATATCAACACATGCAACACTGTGACATTTTCTTGGTTAGGCCATGGAAAAGCAATAAGTAGTTGATTCAGGAGGTAATTTAAAATGTGTTAGCCCCATCTTTGAAAAGAAGACTGTGTGTTGTCTCTGCATAACGCTTTCTCCAAAGTGCTTCTTTGTTAGGACTAATATTACTAATGTCATTCTGTTTTTTCAATTTATT